AAACTATAACAAAATTCTCGAACGTGATTGGCTATCAGCAGCCCGATTTGAGCATTAATTGGACAGTGTATACGCGTCATGCTTGTAATTGGACAGTACCCGTCATTTTGTGCGCGCTGTTGCGGTGCACTTTGTTGAGTAAACTGCTGTGTTTTTCAGCATTCATAACGACGTTTAATCGTTCAGCGATCAATGGATAGTTTGTTCGTTTCTCGAATTTTGTCATAGTTTTGATTAATTGGTAACAGGACATCGTGTCGTCCAATTCAGTCTGTAACCATACTCGTGATTAACAAATCGGACTCCCGCGATTTTGTTAATCACTCGAATGATTACAGACCGAATTGGACTCCACTTAGTCCTATTACCATTATTTATTAAATTAGATATCAGGGATTTAGACCTTTTCAGTAGAAAGATTTATCCTGAGTCCTGAACAGCGCTGTTTATATCAGATTGCACCACCAATGAAACTTGCTGTGCGAAAAAGATTTAACAAAAGTCACAGATATGGTACTTTTTAGTTTTATTTGTCAATAGTTTCACAGAGATTAGTCAAATGTGTTTCACTCTGTACGACGGAAGATTTTCCATCACGTGGTTACCAGCAGCGCGTTAACCATTTAACACATCAATCCGGGGTGAACCCGGTCTAGTTTCAGCATTTTCTCTCCGAGTTGTCGACAGAGCCTGGAAAAACTCTTCACGATTTTGGTGTTAGCGCAATACTTCTTCGAGTAGCCAGCTTCCTTGTAACAAGTGATAAATTCCTGCACATCCTGGCAGATGTTAGAGTTGGAATTCATCTCCTCCAGGAATCGATTAACACACCTTCTGTGAACTCCTCTGGCACATGCTGGGCAGGAATCATAGCCTGAATAAGAAAATTATTTAATTTCAAAAGAATGCAAAATTAGCTTTAGGGAGACTCCCCTATGAGAGAAAGTAACTGGGCTGTTCCTTGCATCTTTTGGTCTATGTTTAAATAAAGTAAATATAGCACACGAAATTTTAAAATCATCCTTCGTTGTATGGGTGTCTGATTTTATATTCTTGTATGTTTTAGGGGTGCAAACTGCTTATTTTGATATTACCAAGGGTGCTGGGGACGGACCCACCATGTTCTTAACGTCAAGGCGTGTTTTAAGGTTGCACAGGAAAAAACGTAAAAAAAAAAAACGCCATCATATTATGCAGGTTAAGATCGCGCTTGAATTATTTAATGTTTTTTCTTCATACAGGAAAGCACTGGGTGACCATGTCTTTTTCGTCATTTAAGTGACTATTACAACTCTAAAGGGTCCAATAAGACATATGCTATACCGAAATTGGTCTTCTTCAGGGGCTTGATTCAAATTCCTACAATCAAAACGAGAGTCTCCCCACCGAGAAAATCAGTCACTTGCAAATCACAAGAGAGTTTTAAAAAAATAAGATTTTAAAAACCGCACAAACGCCACCTTTTAAAGCATATTGCCCCAATTAGTTCTTCTGTGCAGGTTAAGGCCGATTTAATACCTCGAATGCATTCATTTCAGTATGACTTAGTCGCAGCAGTGCGCACCCCCCTCTCCACCGCTTCCCTCACCGGGCAGTATAGGCAGTCTGATAAGCGGGGCATAATTCTCAGGTTTGTAATCTACAGAATCTAGGGCGTCGGTCGTCAATCTTCCCCGAAGATTTCAAATGCCTCTTGCTTTTGTTGTTCTGAGAGAATCCCGGCTTCATTTGCGGTGATGTATTACGTGTCCCATCTATTAAACTCTAAATAATTGTCTTAGATGACTCACCAACGTAATCATGCTTTGTGGATGCTGGAAAAGAAAAGAAAGTCATTGACAACTAATCACCGAGCCATAATGAAGCTTGGCAATCTGGTAAATCCCCAGAATTTATAAACTGGCAAATTCTCTCTCAAATTTCTCTTGACAAATGTATAACAATGAATTCTTTAATCAGTCATTTCAGGAAAAAATTAATGTTTTGATCCGAAACAGATTCTCAGGAAAATGGCAACATATAGTGAAAAACGTGTAGACGTACGGAAGAAGAACAGCTGGTAAACCGACTTTATCAGCCTTGAAAAGTGGACGAGATTTAAGGGGGCAGGATAGGACTCTGCTGGGAGAAGCCCTGATAAGGCTTGATGGTGATGATGATGATGACGATGATGATGATGGTAATGATACTGACGATGACATTGATGGTAAAAGCCGACGACACGAGCGTACGATTGATTTAATCATCACTGATTTATGCCCAGCTCACTTGTTGTCCTGTTTCCCTGTAGAAACTAGATAAAATTAAACACAAGTTATGTTGAAGTCTCTTACCATGTAGTCTCTGCTCCAGGTTTGTGTAATTATGATCGCGACAAACGTTGCATTTCTTGTCCACCATTCCGTGTTCCAAGACAACGTAACTGTAATCTTGAAGCCAAGCACCTCCATCACATTTTGCAAGCGATCGTTCCAAGCAATTCATGAATGTCTGTCGAGAAAAGTTGTGTCAAATTTCAGTTGTGTGAAACACTGATGAGATGTGGCACCGAATTCTCTTTGAACACACTAATCTAGTTCAGTTAATTGTTTAGCATAAACGCCATTGAATTCGCAAAATGCCTTTGCATTTTATTTAAAGTACAGTTTTACCCCCGTGGGGGACTCCCATATAAAAAGGAGAGGGGTAGAAAGGCCTTTTTGGTACGTCTTAGGATATTGAGCCGAAAAAATATGACAGAAGATATTTGATAATCAATTTTACGAGTAGAAGGTATTCGAGCAATCGTCTTTATCGCTATTAAAAATTACGAAAGAGTCAGTTGATATGTTGTTTTAGAATTGGTTCCTCTTAGGGGTGAAATCATTTTCAAGTCACGCCCACAAAACAGGATCTTGGTAACCCTTAAGAGTTTTTTGCAAGATTTCCGACTAACACCAAAGTCCTTTTATATGGGAGTTCCTCCCTTGGAGTTTTACTACCTGTAGAGCTCTGCAGTAGACACGATTTCTAGCATGAATTCCTGGCCTGCGTCGTCCAGTGGAATTCTTGGCGTTTACGAAAACCTGTTTAAATTCATGGTTGCATTTCTTGATCTCTATATACTCGCAAGGTTTTTTGGTGACCGCGGTGGGCGTGGTGCCGACACAGCTGTAAAACTGAAAACAGAAAACAGCGGCGAAGAGAACGAGAGCAATTGATGACATAATGAAGGAACTGAAAGGCTCCTAAAACAAAAAGAAAAGAACAGTGATTAAATTTCAATGCTAACACAAAGCAGAGTACAGTTAATAGCAAAGACTCGAGTTACAAATGTCCTAAAGCCCGCATGTTGCCCTCGCTTCGGCGCAAGTGTACTCGGGTCGTAATTTTCTCGACGCCAAGTGCCGAAGCTAGACTCTTGCAGAATCTACCGAGCATCCTTATATCCATGCAGCAAGCAGTTGGCCGCGGTTTCTTCGGTTCTTATGTGCAATTTATAACCACCTCGCTATTTCGTTCACTTCTAGATCATTATTTCGCGAAGAAAAAAATCCAGTAGTTTATTTTCTTTCTTAAAACCGCCTTGAACGAACAATCCGTTGGGATTAGCAATCCACCGCAGTTTCAAATTTTATATAATCGTTTGAACATAGACCCTCCTGAAATTTTTTCCCTGATCTAAACTCATGTCAACCTAAAGGTTATGTATTCAGTCAAACTCAATTGTTGTGTTTTAAACTAACGGATAACACATTTTATCGTCCTAATTTTAAAATCACCCGTTACAAGTTAGCCCAGCAAAGGTGATTTTACAATCGATCTATACTCACGTCGATCTCCACTGCAGCTCGGCAGAAAGTTAATCGTGTCCTTAATGGGGCGTTTAAAATTGTTTCATTTTATAGACGACCCAAGAATTAATTATGAATACTAAAAGGCCAGGAAAGAGACTTCAGCTCTATTGTCTGTTATAAAAGAGAAATACAAAAGAAACAATTGACGCACTTGCATGAATATCTTGTGCTATGAAACTAACATAAAGGAGACGCTCTTAAAAATTTGAGTGTTCTATTGTCAACCTTTTTACGCGAGCTTAGTTTCAATATATCTACTTTTGAAAGTAGAATAAAAGGCAGCTTTAATTAAGAGTCAAAGAGGTTGCCTTCCTTGGTTGGGAAATTCAGGGCGAGTATCGGCCATAACACCTCAATTGTGGCAAGCAAATAATGCCAACAAGTTAGTGGACTTATATTATTGTGGAACCTTTCAGTTTTGGATTAATTAAAAAATTGATTTGGGATACAGTCATGTGTGTTCCCAGTCAATTTTGTTAATAACTTCTGAATAACTTGTTCTTTAACTTGTTCTTTAACTTCTCCTAGTTCATAACTTCTGAATAGCCAAGGTCTTGCTTCAAACATCAACAACAGTGCTCCAACCCACAGCTTCTTTGCTGCCAGAAACAATGATCAGCGTATTGACACAAGTCGTATTGCAATTTGACTTTAATATTGTCTGGATTTCTGCTTGTTACATATGTTGGACTGATAAATGCACAGAGCCTGAGTTTTGTTAAGATGAGTAAAAGGGTAAACTTGAGTAACAATGCCAACATTTTCGGTAAATAGAGCACAGACAATTAATATCAGTCTCAATGTACTGAAAGATTTAGTGTAATGATCCAAGCCATCATTATTTAATTAAACAGCACTCATTTGAAACACTTTCAATATTGTTTCATTACAATTTGAACGAAACCCCGTGGCCCATCATCCTATTAGTTGCTTGTTAATTTTTTCAGTTGCCCGCTTGAGTCTTTCCCTCACAATTAATACATTTTTTTGTGCATGACTGCCGTGTAAATTACTTCATTGTGATTGGCTGATAGGAGCCCAATTTATCGTTAATTATTTGAACACGCTCCTTCGTAATTTTCTCAGTCATAGAATAAATAATAAAATGAGTAATCGTCTGGAAGTTCGAGCAATTAAGGATTTAAACTACTCGTAAAAATTTTACAAAACCTGTCAAATTGCACTCGTCTAAAGACCACTAAGGGCTCGTGCAATTTTGAGAGAATCTTCAAATATCACTTGAAGTGTTAATACTTAATTGCATTTGCACTCGTACGATTACCTTTACTAATATTGGTTTTCTTTCTGTCTTCACGTATATTGTCCCTGTTTTACGTTCTTCCCTCTTTTTTTCTCTCTCTCCGTTTTGATACACATCGTTCGCTTTTTACGTGCTTCATGCCTCCATCTCTCTTGTTCTAAACTGCGTTAGCCTTCTAACTCTTTCTATTCTAAAAGGTCGAGAGAGCAGAAAGCAAATCGTAATTTTTAAGCAGATTACGACATTTTTTAATTTATAAGACATGTTCCGATGTTACTAACATCATCGTCAGTTACAGAATATTTGAAAAACCGTTAGGACTATATCGAAACATACATATATCGAAACATGTCTTATAAATTAAAAAACGTCCTAATCTTTCTATTCTCTCTCCCTCCGACCGCGCTTCGTTCTTTTGGTTTCCCCCAGTCCCTTCCCTTTGATCGTCCGCCTGCCACGCAGGCTAAGCCGACACACTCGATGAGGAGCATGCGAAGGCGTGGAGTGTGCGCAATACGTGTGATTGTACTCTCGCGGATTACTGGGCAAAATAGTTGATCATCCATGGCTGAATTGTTACTTCTTCCTCCAGGGAAGAGTGGGTTTCGACTATCTGACGGAGCCACTGACTATTAGTTCAAAAACTATAGATTGTTTTAAAATTCAAATGAAAAACATATCCACAGGAACCCGCTTTGTTTGCATGGAGCTAGACACTGCATGTCAGACTTAAATTTGACGTAAAAATAAAATACTCTCGATCGAAGTTTTTGAATACTAAGGACTTCTAAAGAGTTGTCAAAGTCTATTGCTGCTTCCATATTTGTTTACCGTACGGTGAAAGTACAAGATTTTATCTATTATTGTATGAGTCTGTTTCTAGATTCTTCTATCACTTGCTTGTTTATCATTGCAATAGGGTCGACGCGTTGCCTAAGCTGCCAGCTGAACCACAAAAACAAAACAAAAAATATAGATTAATATGCAGTTTGGGTTTAATTTCTTGTGCGGCTCTTTTATCTTTTTATTAGTTTTCGCCATTTATAAATGTTTTGTCTGCAGCATAGTCCTAGAAAATAAATTTTAACCACTGGCTTTTCAGCAATAGCGATTCGAATTATTGGAGTGGTGGCGGAATGGAGTGGAGTTGGCTGGCAGGGCGATTGGAGGTACCCTGTATATATTACGGAAAAGCGCTTTTTACATAGATTATTTTAAAATGTTTTTGTCTTTTTTCAGTTGTAATATTTGATATGTATTTTTATCAAATGAATAAGGGAATTATTCTTATTATTATTGACTGAAAAGGGGAACGCACGCTTCTATCATGGCTTTTGAGCATTTCTATTGCATCATGGGCGCACAATAACTGTATTGGAACAACTAACCTGCCCTCGTTCCCAAAACAACTTAAGTTAATTGATCCAATTAACAAGTGGGTCATAGAAAACTCAGCACGTGTTCTCAGTGGTTGGTTGTCTGACTTTAGATGGCTATCTTGTGTGAAGAGGAAATAATGACACAGTCACGCTCTGTTTGGTAGCTTTCGAAATTTATGCGCTGTTAAATGGCTTCGCGACCGATCTACTGTCTGTGTTTTTATCTGGTGGCTATTACAAGCTTATGGGACTCAAAACCTTGTCTCAGTGCTGCGGTTTTATCCAAAGAAAAGCATAGTTGTTCTTTCCCGGGTTTTTTACAAGAATCATGCAAGGAATCGACCAAAAATTGTCGTCTTTGGTCGCAAGGAAAACGACGTCCATTTGACGAAAATTTCGCTCTCTATGAGCACCAAGCCAGTGAGCGAAGAGGAGAACATACTTGGAGCTTCAATGGAGGGAAAGTCGAGATCTTTGGAGAGGAGCATCCTTTAGTGGCTTCTTTGGAGTTTTACTGTTGGAAGAAACTTTCTCCCCATGTTTTTATCATCTTGTCCAAGAATAATGAAACGAACGAAAATGTGAAATATTCTTGTATCAAATTCAGGAAGAGAGGGCGAAATGTGATTGAATTGGAACGTACTCAGTGGAAAGACAACCATACAAGCCTAGCTTCATGTAATGTGAGCGATCTTAACACTGATGAAAGTCCTTTGATTTTAACTTCTGCGTGGGAGATACCCGACTGCCCACCTGAACTAAGGGGAGGACTTCAAATTATGAAGGCTTACAATGCATTAACTCAACAAGAATGTGTGTTTGATAATGACACTGGTTTAGGCACGCTCGAATCGGACTGCATGGGTAAAGAAGGCATCTTGATCCATTTCCAAGAACGGAAAAATTGTTCTCTTAGCAAACGCAGTTATGCTGCGTTTTATCTGGCCCTCTCTTGCTATAGCACTCCATGGAAAGTTGAAAATTATACATATTTCATCGCGAAAAGTCGAACTATAGCAAGAAATGCCTTTACACTCGCAGACTTTCTCTGCGTCAGGTTCCAGCGGGTATTAAACGCAAGCGGTGAAGAATTTACCCTGCAACTGTACAAACAGCCAATTTGCCTGCGCAATGCGTCGGCCTCGGCGATATCGCTGACCATGCACTTGAGGCGAAGAGAGAATGCTGAAGAAACAGACATTCCTTCTTCTGAGATCACTCGAACGGAATGCAGCTTTCCAGAAAAATTTCAAGGAATTTGGAAGGAAGTATCCCTACATAATGGCTTCCAGAATGTCTTGATAAACGAAAAAACAGTTTATATCCCTCCATATGGAGAATTCCATTGCAAACAACAGTATATTTTTCAACACCAGGCTCCCTACGAGTGCAGTTCATTAGTCACCGGGAAATGGCCTGGAACGGGGCGAGCGAAATTCTTCCACGATGACTATCTGTTGTTGTCAAATTTCACCAATGGATGCCGTCCGCGACTGACTCGCTTTGGAATCACAGACATTATCGGGAGTGATGTGTTAGTGTATAGACTCTCTCAAAGCCAGCCGATTCTGAGCGTAGGGCATACAGAGTTCCTGGAATACTACTATTTTAATCATCTTCTAAGACTGTTTTGCTCGAGCTGGCTTCCTTATGCAAGAGATCCTTATCCCATCTGGGGACGAAATATCGACAAAATCATAATGGAACGTACTTCAGTTGCTAAAACAGCTCGCTGCTCTCTACCACCCTTGAGTAAAGGAGTTTACTATTTCAATGCGGTGAACGCTGACCAAAGTGAATGCAGTGGACAGACCTCGCGCATTCAGTTTGCGTGCGAGAAGTCTTTCGCTTTTGAAGTGAAGTATGACCCAAGGTGCCAGAAACCCGATGTCTCATTTACTTGCATGGGATTAGCGTGGAAACTTGGCGAGTTTTCCTTGGTTCAAGACGTCAAAACTAAAAATATTAGCTGCATGTGGTTTGATGAGCTAAGCAACCAACTGTTCCGCTTGAACTCGCCTCAGTGCCCCGACATTGACTGGGGCCGTAAACGGCCAGGAAACGATGTCAACTACGATGAAAAGTTCGTGCTTCAGTATTATAGCAAATGCCCAGTTATTTCCAATGGAGGAAGAATTGACTATCCGGTAGTAAAGAAGAGAGGAAATGCATCAGGAAATTTTAACGAAGCGTCACTCTTTATGATCCTAACTTGTCTCGTAATTGCGATCATGCGCTAGTTAGAAGAGCGTAATTCCAGCTTGTGAAGTTTCATTCTCGTCCCAGGGCCGTCTGTCCCTCCTGTCTGGCGGGGCCTTGGCACGAGTAAAAAGGTGGTTCCAGAGACGCGTGATTTGATTGGCTAAATTCTTGGACTAAGATTTTCACTAATTCAGCGCTGGTCTCAATCCCGAAAATATCCACTGCTTGATCTCTAACTGAAACCGTTCTATTACAGCGCCTACAGAGTTTAAGAACTCCACCTTGAATTGTATTTACGTTTTGATTTCCCTTCAATAAATTTTTTCAAGGTCTTCAGGTGTCCTAATGGAACGGTTTTAGTAAGAGATGACCACTGGATATTCTCGGGAGTGATACCAGCGTTGAATTTGTGAAAATCTTAGTCCAGGAATTTAGCAAAATAAATCATATATCTCCAGAATCATCTTTTCCTCTTGCCAACGCCCCGTCGGCAAAGAAGGACGAGAAGCTGTGGGGACGAAAATGGAAAGTTTGCCTTTAGTTTCTTGAGGAGTTTGATCGAAAATAGATTCACACGATGGAAGATGGAAAGTCATGAAGTTTTTCATTAAAATGGAAAGGTTGTGTGACGAGAAAGCAAGCCTATTTGAGGGCAGTTGAACGGAGTAAAGGACTGAATTGGGGACACTTAATCAGATTTTTTAGCGTTCAGCTGAGTAAAACCCTCTTTTTCCATCTGACAGTTCAATTAAAATTTGACCAGTTTCTAGGACGTTTTCTAAGCTCCTTGTTTAGACTAAGGAAATCTTAACATGTAATATATACATAAAGGGTTAATCTGTTTAGTATAAATATAAGTTATTAGCCGTTATAACATTGCATCTTTGAAACTGATTTGGTATAAACAAATTTTCATTGTATGCCGGTTGTGTTTTTGATTTGCATGGCATTTTCTATTCTATTTTTCACTCCCTTGGAGAAAGCTTCCATTCAAAATTTTAAATTATAACAATTTTATATTTCTTTCTTTTCAAACAGATACTGACAAAGTTTTGCAAGAATAATTCGTCGTTGTGTACTTCTGATAAAATGTTTGATATACAGGACATGATATGCATATCTGAACTTCCGTAATATTGCGTCAACAAACTTTCGCTTACGTTTTTTCAACTTCTCTTTGGGTGGGTGGAGTGGGGTTCCATCATGGGAAAATCTGAAGGAATTGTGAACAGGCTTATTATACTTGGAACGGACTAATACGGATCAATACCCATAGCATTCTACTTTGTGAAAAGGAGAACACTTTGGACAAAGATTTGAGGATATCCTCCATCTTCAAGCAGGTCACCAGGCTAAAAGAGAAATCCCGGGAGAAATGGCAAAGCTACTTGATTGTGGAGAAAATCAAATACGAGGTTACTTTCGGGGCGGGCGTTACTTTTGGGGTCGTTACCCCGGGGTCGTTATTTTCGGGAAGCGAAAAACATTACTTAAATTGATACGACTGACCTCTTTTTACGAAATCCTATCGTATCTTATATCTCTTTATGCCATAAGGCACATAAGGCTTTGACATTCTCTTTCCAACCACTACGGTTTGCTGCGAGGTTTCTGACATTCGCCCATGACTTTATTTAAGAAATAAAAGACGTAAATTCGCAAAAATAGAAATTCATAAACACGATATACAGTTTTTCGTCCCAGTCTTAATAAATGCTGCTGCCACATGGATAGGCCCTTCCTGTCTAGACCGTGTTATCAGTAGTCAGCAGGCTAGTCAGGAACCTCCTGATCCCTACTTTCGGAACTCTGAGGGGTCGTTACTTTCCGAAGTTCACGGAATTATCAGATAACTCCAAATATTATGAAAGTTCAATAGAAATCAGACGAACACGAAGTCTGGCAAGTGCTGTAATGACATGAAATGCAAACACCCTCAACAACATAGGGGAAGGGGGATGGGGGGTGGGGTGGGTTTTTTTCTGAGCAAGACCTTCAGGTCGAGTAAGTCCTGCACTTTCGGAATCCTGCACTGGCCGATAGCTCAACCCCACCCCCACCCCTGCAATGTATGACCGGGATAGCCTGTGTACGAAAACATGGCCGCAAACATGGAGAAGGTTAGAGAAGTCTTTCTCTCGTAAATTACTGGTTGAAAAGGTAATATTCCGGTGTTTTATACCTCTTATATATATAAAGGCGCAATTTTATGAGTTAAGCAGGTGGTGAATTTGCAATGGAATTCTTACAGCAGGGGCTATTTTACTCATTCCAGGGGTTGTGATTGCAGACAAACGCTTCTAAATTGTACAAGGATTTACGCCTCGTTATTTAAGAAATTAAAGGAATTAACTTTCCGCAATCACGCAAGTCAGTCGTTATATTGCAAGTTACGGATTAGAGGCACATATGTATGAAAAGTACGTTACGATCTTAGGGCAACTTAAGAAGTTTCTGCTTTAATAACAAAACACTTGATTAGGTACTTGGAGATCCCTGGACTTAAGCTTATCTTCACACTTGTTGAAAGCTATAAGCAGTCATCTCGCAAATCGTTTTGAAATCTCCTCATTTTTGGTTAAAGAAAATTAAAAACAGACCTTGCACACGTGGAAATTCCTGCTTTGGATACCTTTTATACATTTTCTTTGCAGATAATTTCACAGTTACATATATGACCACAAAATTGTTGGATATTGTGCTGACCCCTTGTGATTGGAGCAGATGTATGGTGTATGGCATTTGCGGACTGCAGACTACATTTTGGGCCTGGATATTGCTCAGGTTAGCCTGAATAGGGTCCAGGGGGAGGGGGGTATTCCCAGAAAATTTGGGTGTGTGTGTGAACCCCCTTTCCCAAAACCCTTACCCTATTTACAACCAAAATCTGCGATTTTCCCTACCCTATTTATGACCTGACCAGAAATTTAATACCCCATTTATGATCTGACCCTTAAATCAATACCCTGTTTCAGACCTGCCATATAATTAGTTCCCTAGTTCAGACCAATGTTAAACATAGTTTGTGAAGGGCTTTTGTTGATGGTTTTATCGATAATGATGAAAAAGTACCTTCTTTTTGAAAACATACGTATATCAAGACTAGAATGCAAAAGCCATATCCTATTATTTTGTGACCAAAATGGACAAAATCGATACCCTATCTATGACCCAAACTGCTGAAAAACCATATCCCTATATAGCCCATATAAGGGAGTTCCCTCCGGGGAATAGTGCTCAGGTTAGCCTGTTTAAGGTTAGTTCTCGGTAATGGAAATGGGAATATGATTACAAAGTCTGTGGTCTATGGTCTGCAGTCTACAGTCTGCAAACGTCACAAACCAGGTCAAGATTGGCTAGGTTTTCAAGACAGTAGAACTGGGGAAAATAGAAAAATGCTTGTAACATAAAATTTTGTAATGAGATGGGATTTAAAAAGTTTGGAGCAACAAAAGAGGCAAGATGAAACCAGTGAAAATTATATGACATGGGAAGTTCAGAGCTATTCTTCTCATACCCCACACAAAACCTTTATTTTTGCACTAAAAACATAATAGATAACCTTTATTTACCCCCCAGTGTTTATAGCTCAAAGGCTAGCAGAGCTGAGCAAACACCTGAAACAAATAATTCAAATTGAACATAATGTTGTTAAGAATCCCAACTGGTCAGAGACAAACCAGTTGGCTATTTACAAACCTAACCAAGGATTTGAACTTGGGGCTACTGTGAAACAAATCCAGGTAGCAGTCAGAGCGGAACTTGAACTAAGGACTGCTGGATTGCGAGTCCATTATGCTGACCACAGAAAAAATCCTGGTTAAATCACTTGTGTGTCTGTAGTATTTATANTAAGGTTGAAACTTTATTACTAAGCAAAAATCTCACATACGAAAATTTCGTTTCAGTGGCACTTTAAAGTTTTTTTGTTCTGTTTTTTTCTTGTTTTGTTTTTTAGGGGTATGGAAGGTGGAAATTTGACAAGGAGTTAGACGAAAGATGATATGCCAGAGTCAAAAACCTTAATTAAACTCTAAGTTAAATATGCAACAAATTTAAGTGTATTTACAGGTTACGCAGCTCGAAGTTTTCCTGCATAACAGTATGTTAGGGAGTAAAAATCATAATATTCAAATACGTGTCTTCGTTCCAGCTCTGTGATGCACTATTTATATTACTATAATTTCCTGAAAATAATTTCATATATTTGTCCCAAGAAATAAACAGCGACAATGTTCACAATTTTGTTCACATTTGAGGATTGTGTAAAATAAGGGCGCTGTTTCCGTTCACAAGAAATCAAGAAAACTGGCTTGAAAGAAATTACTTAAACTACTTTTCCTAATACAAAACTATTGATGTAATAGAAAATAAGAACAATCTTCACTGTTGGCTTCAAATATACTTAGTTTATGAGCTTTTATTCTGGAGAACGTCTTGAAAACAGATATCGTGTGATTCCGTGACGGGTCTCACGAAATAGGAAAGTCACGAAAGCTTGAAAGTTCCGTTTCAGCGAACACGACAATTTTTTTTTTTTTTTATGGAAAATGGTTGAAAAACACCAAGAGAACATTCAGTAAAGGTTATCTCGTTTGGATAAACCTTTTCACAATGCAATTAGCTCACCAGGGAAGATAAACTGTAGAAAAATGCACCATTTTGTCGTTTTTTGTTTTTGCGTGATGAGCGAGTATGACGTGACACGAGTAAACCCCGCCCAATAACAAATGCCAATCTACTCTTGTTTACTCACTGAGATAAATAGTCATATATGGGGCAATCGAAGTCATTTTGACAGTAATAAATACACCTGGTTGTGCTAGCGGCCAGTCGTTGTCAAATCCTCCTTAAAGTAGCCTCTTGTAAGCTCGGAACTTTGTGCATTACTGTTGTACGATGTCGCTGAAAGCTTGTTCAAGAATTGTTCGTGCTTGTGGTGTCGCCAGTTCTCCACAGTTTCTTGCAAGGTCTCTTCCTCGTCGACTTGGTGAGCGAAGCTTGTACCTCAAGCAAGATAAAAGAGCTAGCACTAAGGAAGAGCTTGGCATGTTTATCTTTGGTCTTGGTGCTCTTTCAACCGCTGTTGTTTGGGTAAGAAAACCCTCCTAATTTTCAGATGTTTTGATGCACTCGTTAATTCGATATAAAAAGTCGTGCCTATAGCAAAACGAAGTGCCGCGTAGATTCAAAGCGAAAGAGGAAAATCTTATTTTTATCGTTTACGCTACACAAGGATTTAGAAAGTTACCATCTTGGTGGTTGAAACGAGAAGTAATAGATTTAAAACATACTTTTTCGTAAAAATTCTAACGACTTAACGCTAAAAGGACGCGGAACTACAAGACGTGAGTCAATGCACGTATTTGCCAGGCGGATTTGTTTTGCTTCCGTGAATATAGATATCTGAACGATGGACGCCTTTCTTTCACTTTCACAATCGAAACACATTTCGGATTATATGTAGCCCTGAATTTACATTATCGAAGAAATATGTGGCAAGTAAATAAATGGAGACATGGATCCCCTGGCGAAGAACAAGCGCTTTGTTTACCGAATGCGTGGCCATTATTATATATATGTATATATTTTTAGTACAGATAAGGCGTGCCCTTTCTAATACTCGAGGCCTTTTCTAGGAAGGGGTCAAATCTTACAAATGACAGGTCCTAAAATTTCAAATCTATATGGCCTAAAGAACTCACCCCTAGCAAGTCTTTGCACAATCCCCACCCGACCCCTGCCCCACCCCCACCCCCACCTCCAATCCTTGAAACTCTCGCTAGCTTAGTTTAGTGGACATTTATTGCAGAACGTTTTAGTCCCTTTCGATCTTAATCACTTTCAACTCAACAAAACTGGCTTTATTTGCCTAAAGGATCAATAATGCCTTCCACTGGATAAATCACTGGAAAAACAAAACAAAACAAACTGAATCTGTACTAATCTCTTTCCCAGGGTCTCTCTTCTTCCAGCCCCTGGAACATGGTTCAATGAATATTATTTGTACTATTTATTTGTTGTTATCTGTGTAGGGAATAAAGGACGGTGCATTTTCATTAAACATGACTCCAGCTGAACGAGCCAAGGTAAAAAGAAAAGTTTTATGTCACTGCTTACTTAAAAAAAATTAATATTTTGGTTAACCAAACCTATTATAAACCATTTCTTTCGATGTAGTATTTGAAGCTTCATTTGTACGTAGCTTCCCACAAAAAAGTGAGACACATTTAATAGGGAGACTAAACTGTCCACAGTTAGAATTATATGGCATTCAGTCTACTGTGAACTTAAATTTGACCTTTTATGGGTGCCTTGGAAAATTTCTGATGATCACCCCAATTCAGGTCACTTTTATTTCAGGGAGTATGTTGCCACAGGTTTCATTTGATAATATTATTGAATACAATACTGTTTGCCATGGAATCTTCTATGGTAAAAATAGTCTTAATTGTACCATAGTGTTTTATAGAGATTGGAAATGGTTAGTTTTCAAGTGATCTGGGTTTTAGCCAAAGGTAGGCCAGCCCGCTCATTGCAGATGTCATTCTTTGGCCAGATGTTTTACTCTTACAGTGGCTCTCTTCACCCAGGTATATAAATGGGTAACAGAAGTTTGATGGGTAGGGTGGTAGGGTGTAGGCCTACCAGCCTCTCCCCCTCTGCGGTCCCTGTAATAATGCTACACTGAAACTTGGATGAGCTCTGATCTGCGGTGACCCTTGTTTTATTCAAGCTAATTGAACAGATAACTGGGTTGAATGATAGATGAGAATTTTATTTCAGATGGAGGCAGGAGAGGAAGGATCTGCAGAATGAATTAGAGATCAAGCCTTGCTAAATCACTGAGTTGCAGCAAATGTCGTGAAGCTGTATTTGCACTCGTTTCATTTGACTCATTGTAATTCGTTGTTATATTTCAGATATTAATTTTTTTTAAGATAGTTTGGGTTTATAGATGTGGACATTGTAATGTAGTCACTGTAATATATATACATCAGGTTAAATATTGTTATAGCTCAAGTTAATGAGGTAAAATTGTAATGCACAACAACTTATGCATATATCTGTTGTTGTGTACTGTAACTGTTTCTTATAATATTTGTTTTATATTGTTAAAAATTAAAATAAAAATTGTTTTAAATAATGTAACCTTATGGTTTAAACAGCCAATCCAGGATTAAGTTTCTTAACTGTATTAACTTGTGGGTAAAATTGCAGTGCTCAAAGCAGGGTTAGTTGGTGGGTTACTTAACCTCTGTTTAGGGTAGATTAACTCCCCATATTTCGTATCCCATGATACTCTTTGTTGGTTTTTAAATGCCCAGACTTGCTCCTCATGTACTCGTACATATAAGTAATGAATATTTAGAATAATGACAGTTTAATAGCAAACATGACATGAATTTAATAGCAAGGAAATAGACGTAGAGGAATTATATGATATAAACTTAAATCAATTTTTAAGATCAGCTTCAATTTGTTATGAAAAGTGACCATTTAGTTAATCAGTAGGTGTCTTTCCATAACAATAGTCTAAATTCTGAGTTGTAAAGCAACTGATTATACACTTGCTAATCAGTTAAATTGCTTTGAGAAATATTATAAAATAATATTAACAGCAGCTTTTAATAGAATTAAAGGGTCCTTATGGATACTTTGAATAGTAGAAAAATTTTCATTGCCATGCTGCACCTCTGTGACATACAAGATACTAAGATATGGGCGAAAATAACTTCTGCGCATGCGAAGAAGTGCAGCAGGATGGAGGTTTCTGTCGCTGAAGGGAGGTGGGTGGAGCAAGAAGGGAACTGAGCTGTTGGGGCATGAATGGATAACAGGACAATCACAAGTGCGAAGGGAGTATAAATACTATGCTCAAAACCCATGGGTATTACAGATGTCTCTAGGGGAGAAATTTGCTAATTTATGTAGCGTTCGTGACCACTTCGGTACAATCATATCGATGAAAATAGTACACTTGAAGATGCCTTTCCCTGATTATTTAAGTGATGTGAAGCATAATGGGAAAATATTTAACTGAACAATTCTGACACTACCCTCTTCCCAGAAAAATGGTTCTTAGACAGATGAAGTGAATGAGGGAGGTGGGTACTATTTTAGAGAAACCATTTTGTGAATAGCAACTGGTCAGGTCATCTTAATCTGGGACCAGCCCCCTTTAGGAGATGCCAAAACAAAAAAAGAATTGAAAACAATTTTAAAAAAAATTGTAAAAAAAGATGGCAGAAATAAAGGTAAACTTTCTGGACAGGTACCTCATTATAAATAATCACAAGTAATATTTTTTTGTTATACCTAAAATAGTTGTGTCAGTGCCATTATTTCTGCTCTAACAGTTTCCAATCAGGTTCTAATAGTGAAATACCAGCATTTTAATCTAAGGGGCATACCNCCCCCTTCCCCACCCTTAAAAAATCCTGGATCTGCCCCTGGTGGGGCTAGTTTGTTCCGAAATTTTCTAAATGCGTGAGAACAGGCAATTTTTACTTGAATTAAGCTCGGTTTAACGACAACTTTGTCCTTTGAATTCAAATGATTTTGAGAGTTACATTGAACGCTACCCGTGATGTGGTGAATGAAAACTCGTCCGCGCGACCGCGCCACATTTTGGCGGGAAAATCTCGCGAGAGTTGTGATCTGGTGTAATCGACGAATATCTTAGAAGTAGAACGCCATCTTTTGTGTTGATTTTTTTTTCCTCGTGACACCATAGATCACCAAAGGTGGCCTAAGGTCAAGCTGGGCGCGATGATCATTTTGTTTTTAAAATACTAACGGCCATGGCAAAATTATAAAACCTCGTATGGAATGCGATCGGTTTAGCCTGCCTAGCAAACGTTCCATACGAAGAGCTTTATCCAACCTCGTTCCGGGGCTATTCCCTTTGAATTAATTGTTAATTATAATCCATCAAATATTTTCGCTCGCGCGATTGGTCTAAGCGCGTCACGTGACTGAAAATTCCCTAGCTGAAACTGGGGAATATCCGAGTGATATTCTCCAATTTTCAAAACTTTGCGTGTCGCGAAAAATATCTGAAAGACAATAAACACGATATCCTCCACTTGGCGCGGAAATATGCTCTGATAATGTCCACGGACAAATATACAGTCGAACCTCCCGTGAGCGACCACCCAATGCAAGATGTCAAGCCCAGGCGGTCGCCTACGGGAGGTGGTCGCTTACGAGAGCTTAGGCCATATTGGGTGAAAATTTTGCCTCGTTAGCATATGGTAACTACAGAGACTTACCCCATGTTTTAATGTTTTATTCCTGTGAAAAGTCAGTTTCGAGAAAAAAATCCGGTACTTCCCATTGAGAAATTTCGGTCTCTTATACTACCCAGGAATGCGATAATGCAACAACACCTTGTTATCCAATTTTCGCTCTAATATCTGTCAATTGGTCGCTTACGGGAGGTTAAAAACAAAAGAAAATTTCAAACTTTTAGCTCTAAAAGTGGCCGCGGTCGCTTACGAGAGGTGGTCGCTTACAAGAAGTTCAAAATATAATGATTTGACTTGGAAACTTTTAGTTTATTGCAAAACTGGTCGCTGAGGAGAGGTGATGTAGTCGCAGACGGAGGTTCGACTGTACTAGCATATTTTCGCGCCAAATGGAGGCTATTTGTTATATATGGCGAGTCTTATAATGTTGCTATGACTGCTCCCGGTTGACCGCCATTGCGCAAGTTAACAAATTGACGTCAGTCTTTTGTGCGTCTGACCTCTTATTGATGATAAATTGAGTCATAACATTGTCAAAGTGGCTGTGGAACCACGAGCCGCAGGCAAGTGGTTCCGCAATAAACTTTGACAATGTTATGACGACAGTTATCATCAATGAGAGGACAGACGCATAAAAAACTGACGTCAAGTTGTTTTTTACAATAACAAGACCCCAAAATGGTCAAATGCCGGGAATAAATGATGGGAAAAGACGCCGTAAACAAAGATAAGTGAATTTTATTCAAAATGACGCGAACATTGTCGATAGCTCTTCTCGCTTTTTGATTGGCTACTTACAAAAGTCCATTAAATCTGTTTGGTTAAAAAGTTGATGGTTTAACAGCTGAAAGTTGAACTTGAAAGCTCGCATTAAAATTTTATCTGTCTGTGCTCTTATTGATGATAAAAATAAGCCAATCAGCGCGCAAGAAATTGGACAGTTATTTTATGATCATCGCTCACAGCTTGAGTGGCGGTGGCGCCGGGACACGAGCAGCGCGAGCAGGCTTTCGCTTACGCGCTTGGATTGTTGACTGTTTACGTATCTGCTTACGTCGCTCGTGAAAAATCAACGGTTCGGCATTAAAATGTCTCTGATGACTTGCAGCAAGATTGTTCGCCCGTGTTTGAGTCTATTTAGACCAGCTGCAGATCCCTCAAGGTTAAACAGATGCAGACTGTTCAGTTCTCTCCAGAAGCAGTCAACTTTTGTCGCCGGTCGATTGTTATCCAGACATTATTGGAAAGGTAATCCACATCGAGAGAGTGGATGGCCTATCAGTGATAATGGCTTGGTAATCCTTGGATTTAGTTTGCTTGGAAGTACTTTGCTCTTTGTAAGTATGCGTAACATTTTATTTGTCTTCTGCGTTGCACTACTTTTGTGTCCGTATGTACCTGTTAATGACCATTTTCAAACTAGAAACACATAATCCGAGGGTCTTAATGGTATGGTTAATTTTACGGTTAACGGTTAATTTGTTTTCCTTTTGGTTAACAGAAATCTTAGAAAATTTTTATAAATCACCATTGTTTAAAAAAGGTAAAAAAATAGGTTGATTATACTACTTATTTAAGGCCTTAGGACTATTCCGAGACGGGAAAAGGTTTTGTTCTAAGAATTGTAGAGTAATATAGCTTAAAAGCCACAAGACAAGACACAATAATGTATTGACAAAAACTCTTGAGATTTTCACTTCCGAAGCTAAAATCTTTTTATGGTTAATATTTTTTACGCCTAATGGCTAAACTTGTGACCCGTTTTACGGCTAACGGCTTTGGTTTTTCAACCGTATTGGTCATAAATAGGGTGTCGATTTTGGCCATTTTTGTCATAAATAGGGTATGGTTTTTGCACCCTAGTCTTGATATGGTTATGTTTTTAAGAAGAAGCCCCTTTTTCGTCGTGATCGAAAAGAAAATCAACAAAAGTCCTTCACAAATTATGTTTGCGGCAATTTATTATTGGTCTGAACTAGGAAACTAATTATAAGGCAGGTCTGAAAGAGGGTTTTTATCAGTTAAAGGTCATAAATAGGGTATCGAATTTTTGGTCAGGTCATAAATAGGGTAGGGAAAATCGCAGATTTTGGTCATAAATAGGGTAAGGGTTTTGGGAAGCGGGCCGCACACCCCGCACCCCACCCAATTTTTCTGGGAGTACTCCCTCCCCCTCCCGGGATTGAGATCCTCTAGTCCGTCAGGTTGAGCTTAGGCAAGTTTGTTTAGTACCTTTCCTCATGCACCTGAGTATAAAAAAGACCGGCACAAGACGCATTATACGTCAAGACGAACTATTTGCCTTGGTGCATTTTGAACGACGAACTATAAGAGACGAACTTGGCTGAGAGGGATATTAAAGCTGTCTGTGTCTGTTATTAGCATGCTGTTAGACCCTTTGCAGGATCCGGTCACGTGGTATAAAATCACACATGCTGGGACACTAGTTGCACAGCAAAGCAACTCGTACCAGTCCACCTTGACCTGCCTTTGTTTTGGAAGTCCCACTGTGCAACTTGCGTCCCAGCATGTGTGATTTTGCACCATGTGACCGGATCCTGCAAAGGGCCTATTATAGCTCTGTGCACTTATGCGTGGTCAGTTATAAAAGTCGGTAAGGAAACGAATAATTCGTGGAGACGAACTATCCATCACTATATATTTTGTACATCTTGAGCAACCAACTGATGGCTCAGCGTCTGATATAGTTCGTCCCGGTTTTACCCCAGACGCATGAAACAGCTGACGGATAATAGTAATTTTTATACATTGAACTCGCTATCTCTTTTCTGATTGGCCGAA